GGTTTTGATAGTTCAACAGTTGTGAATTGCTGCCGATCTCGCCACTCCAAGCACGACGAGGTCCCTGCAGAATCCACTGATTGACATGGTCCATCTTAGAGTCTCCGTTTGCCCAGTTTTTCATGCCAACATATGGCTGGGGTAGTTGATTAATTTGTTCTGTCCTCTGTTGGTGCCAGGTGTCCTCTGCAGGTCCCGATGGACTGTCATATCCCCCACGTACAGCTGGCTATGCTCTCCACTGCTCTGTCTGAGGAGGCTCGGCTCTGGCACTTGCACTCCATGGCAGACCATGGGTTCTGAATCTGGCAGTTCAGTTGGGGAGATCCCAAAAGAAACTTTGTCTGAGGTGATCCCAGACCAGATTCTTGCGTGTATTTACAATACAGGGCCTGGTACAGTCCATTGCCCCAATCAAGCTAAGGAGATTTGAATAAAGTTTAAGCTTAATGATCATGTATCAACGTTGATTTATTCATTGTAACACATCCATCCTACTGGGTTAACATGTCAGGAACAGGAAAAGCTGGATATGTGGAAGCCAATTTTCTCAACTTTCCCACAAATATAAAAATCATTCTGAGAACAAGTTATTTATTTAAAAATTGTTTATTTGTTGGAAAGGTAGAGATGGGTGGGAAGAGACAAAGTGAGAGAAAGAGGTTGTCCATCCGATTGCTCACCGCCCCCCCCAAGCAGTCTCAAAGGCCACTTTGGCCAGCTCAAGCCAAGAGCCAGGAAGCTCATCAGGGTCTCCCACCTGTGTGGCAGGGTCCTAACCCTCTGCTGCTCTCCCAGGCACCTCTGCAGGGAGCCGGATAGAGCGAAGCAGTCGGCACCTGAACTGGTACTCATATGCGATGCTTGCACTGCAGGGAGTAAGTTGACCCACTGTACCACAATGCCAGTCCCAATAAAACTTATTTTTTAAGGTTTTTTTTTTCTTCACAGGAGAGAGGTGTAAAGTAGGATGTCTCTCTTTCTGCTGGAGCTATAGCAGCTATTGTTGCCATGTGGGACTCTACAAGGAAGACCAGAAACGTCACTGAAGAATTACAACAGCTGGCACTGAGGTGTAGACGGAGACCATCCCCCCGCAACACCGGCGCTCCGTACGGATGACGAGTCCTGGCTCTCTACTTTCTGACCTGCCTTCTCACTAACAGTCTAAGGTACCAGAAGATGACCCAAGAGCTTGGCCCCCGGGCCCACGTGGGAGATCGGTATGAAGCTCTTGGCTCCTGACTTCAGCCTGGTCCAGCGCTGGCTGTTGTGGTCACTTGGGGAGTGACCTAGCTGACGGAAGATCTCTCTGTCTCTCCTTCTCTCTGTGTAACTCAAAATAAATAAGTAAATATTAAAGAAAAGAAAAAAATCGGGACTTCCGGCTTTGGCAGCAGCTCTCAACTCTGCCATGGTAGTTGGCAGGCAGCTGCGGAGAAGCCAGAACGGGGGGTGGCTCTGCTCCAACAGGGCTTCATGGATTGAAGCAAGCAGCCAGGGGTCTGACGTGTGGGCCATGGCTTGCTGAGCCTGGGCTATCTGGGGACACCTTGCTCTAGAAACAGCCCCTTTCCTCAGGGCTTGACCCAGCACAAGTTCCTGACTCCTGAATCTGGACTGACCCGGTGTGGCCATTCTGACCCTTTGGGAAGTGAATCAGCGGATGCAAGATGCTCTCTCTCTAACTTTGCATTTCTAATACATAAAACACATTAAACAAAGCTGAAACCTCCACCGAATCCAGCCACAGGGGCAGGACCACTGTGGACTATGGGTCAGGCTCTAGGACCAGCAGGGGGCGCTCTGAGGCCCAGGGTTGGGCCTGAGGTTTTGTATCTCCCAGCTGAACCTGGGGCCTGGCACCCAGCCCTGCTCAGAACAAGCAGAAAAGGGCCCCTGAAAGACGCTGTGGGAGGCTCAGTGCTGTAGCCTAGTGGCTAAAGTGCTCACTTTGCATGCTTCGGAATCCCGCATGGGCCGGTTCTAATCTAGTTTCCTGCTTGTAGCCTAGGAAAGCAGTCAAGGATGGCCCAAAGCCTTGGGATCCTGCAGCCCCGTGGGAGACCCGGAAGAAACTCCAGGCTTCAGATCAGCTCAGCTCTGGCCTTTGCGGCAACAGACAGATCTTCCTGTCTCTCCTCCTCTCTGTATATCTGACTTTACATCAAAAATAAAATCAATCTTTAACAGGGGAGGGGGCGGCGCTGTGGACTTTAGGAGGGTGTGTGGTGCCACACCCTCCTTACACCAGGCGCCCAGCAAGTCCCAGTTGTTCTGATGTCCCGTGTCATGCCTGAGCCGACAGCTGTTCCTGCTGGAGCCAGTTTGGTGCAGGGGAACCCCTCTGGTTGGAAGGCCAGACTCCCCTCTTCAGCTGGCAATGTCCTAACCAACCAGGCAGAGGTAGTCCTGCCTGTGTCTAGCCCAGGGACCGCACACAGACTCAGGTTAGACTTGGTTAGTCCCGCACAGCCTGCAGGGCCCCGGATTGTCCTTTGAGACCCCAGGTGTGCCATTGGCAGCCCCATCCCACGCGGGCATCTGAGGGTCTGCCAGGGGCGGGACTCCAGAGGCAGGTCATGTCCTTGGCTGCTGGCGCTGGGTCGGCTCTCGCCAGTGAGGGGTTGAGCTCTTCCTGCACTGTCACATTTCCTCTGCCTGCGAGGGACAGGAGGGCGGATGGGCGACAAGCTCTGCTCCAGCGAGAGGCTGCCGTGTCCTGTTGGTGCTCGGAGCTGCAGATGCTTCCAGGGCTCCATGGTCCAGAGCCCAGGAGAACCTGGGGCTGACGCCAAACAGGGTAGAGCTCACGGCAGCTCTCTGCTCACAAGCTCTGGCCAGACAGTAGGGGTGATCTCATTTAGGGACACATGCGACAGGACTTCTATAGTTGGTGCTGGGGGAAAGTCCTTCACCACCCCCCACCACAGTTGCCACGTTCATTGCTGCGAAGGGGCTTGCATCCAGAGGGCCACGTTGGGGCTTCTGGGACCCCTCACCGCTCCACACTTCGGCAGCAAGGGCCAGGGGGATGCAGGAGCCGCCGCTGTCACAGGTGTGCTGTACAGATGCAGGATCAGGTATGGCAGAGACCGTACCTGAACCTGTCACCCCTGCCCAGCCTTGCAGCCCTCCCCGAGTCCCTGAACCCCAAGTCTGGGTCCTAGGGCTCACTGGAGAAGGCATTCATTCTGAGACCTCAGCGGAGCTCGCCTGCTGCTCAGGTGGGGAAGGAGCATCCAAGCCTGAGGAGCAAATGTTTGTGAACTCTCCTAACATAACTGGTCACAGCCACCTGCCGGAGCCAAGGAGTTTTCGTCACCGCCCCCCACCCCAGTGTTGCTGTCACTGAAATAGGGGTCACGGTGGAGGCAGAGGCCAGAGGTGGGGGGTGGGAGGAGCAACACAACCCAAGAAACAATCCAAAGAATTGTAAAATTTATTGTGTAAGTATTGCAGCTTTTCAGAAGTTATCATTGCCACTAACGATTACGGATACAACAAGCAGTTTCTTCAGGCCTCCAGATAACAGTCTGAACCAGCAGTGGCGTGTGCCACGGAGCTCACACAAGTTTAACTCGAACAGAAAGAACGTGGGAGACAGGCAGCGAAGGTGTGGCCCTGGGCCGGAACGCAGCCTGCACGTCGGACACGGTGCACAGCCAAAGCCCCCAGCACACTTTCCAGAAAAGCACAGCATACTGACTCCTCCTCACCGAGGCGCCATGTGCTTCTGGATGCTTGGTGTCGCACACCAGGAAAACCCTGTTTTGGAAAAGGTGCAGTTTGCACTCCGTGTGCCCTCCCCCCTGCAGTAGGAGCTAGGGGGACACGAGTGGGTCTGGTCCCCGCCCTGCCCTGCTGGGGAGAGGCCACTGTGGCCTTTGCAACCTCACTGGTGCTTACAGCAATCTGCTAAGTCCATGGACACCTCGGCCCAGCCTTTCGAAAGGAAGGAAAATGGTGATTGACATGGAGGGAGGAATCCAGGGGAGAGCTCGACTCTGAAACTTGGGGGGAATGTGGCCCGAGACCAGCCCAGTCCCCCGCAACTAGCCGCTTCCAAAGACCCCACCAAACTTTGTGTTCGGAGGGGGGTGCATCCTGGGAACTGCTGCTTACAAAGACACAGCGACAACACCCAGGACCGTGGGCCCCCATGGCCCCATTCTGATATGGAAGGGGGAGTTGGCCCCGTCTTTGCTGAGCGCCACTGTCCATGGCTGCACCTGTCAGCAGAGGTGGCTATGCCCTCCAGCCAGCCCAGGCCAGTTCTCCTTCCTTACCCCCTCCTCCAGCAGAGGCGAACACACAAGAGGTCAGGGGGCAGCTCAAGGACAGAGGGACCCTGCAGCTTTTGGCCAATGACACTCATGCATTCAAGGGCCACTTCCAGATTTTAGACTCAGGCGAGTGACCTAAGATCCTGGACAGAAAGGTCTATAGGGACAGGAGGGGCTCTCGCCATGCTGGGCACCACTGCAGGGGCACGGCGGGGACACGAGGTCCCCTAGATAAGGCACCAGAGACGCAACTCATGAAGGAAAGACGGGGTGCTACTCTGCCCCTCCCTTCATGGCTTTGGAAGAGGGTCTCTCTCGGAGAGCAGCAGGCTCAGGGTAAGGCTGACGCAGTGCCTGGCCACCATGCCCAACTACCAACAGAGCTGGAATCACAACTTCTCCACGGCTTTCAAGGGACAACAATGCTGGTGACTGACAGCAGGTGTATTGCCTCGTGTCTCTGCTGGTCTATGGGCCACGAACAGGGTCCATGCTACCACAGACGCTGCCCCGGGGCAGCACTCCCTGCTGGGTGGGAGTCTGCAGAGTGGAGCACAGGCCTGGTCCTGGTCCCTGGCAGATGCCAAATGCCCTCGTTTGGTTTTCTCCTGTCCCACTGTCGGTTCCCACGAGGGGAGGGGGAGCAGGGCACGGGGAGGGAGCTGGGAGCTCAAAAGCAGAGGTCTGCCATCCTGTTCCTTTTAACCCTTTCATGAGTGTGGGAGGTAAAGCTGGGTTTTCCACCCTCATGTCTGGGTCTTCAGGGTGTGAGACCTCGGCACGGGACAGACAGGCAGAGAAGAGGTTTTGCTGCTAGCACTTGGGGCCTTGCCGATCCACCAACATGCAGTATCAGTTGGCACCAGCTGGACAGAACCAAAGCCTCGCAAACCCACAAGCTGCTGCCTGTTTGTCCCTGGGCACCTGCAGGTGGTGAAGCTGCAGCTGGTAGGGACTGGGGCTGAGGGGAGCAGTGGGAGGGACAGGGGAGTTAAAAAGGAGGAAAAAAAAAAAAAAACTAAGAATCCTTCAGTAATGGTTTATTTCATTTGGAGGAAAGAAAGCACGCCAGCTGTGACCTGGCGCTTCTGCAGTGACGTCCCAGCCTCACCTGTGTTGCCAAGGCTGCCGTGCCCAGGCAGGGAAGGCGGGACCCCTCCGGGAGGCTGACCACGCCGGAGTGCCAGCGCTGTGCAGCCGGGGCGCGGCCTGGGCTATACGGGCCTTGCACGCACCCACGCCCTCGGCCAGGCGCCTGGACCATCAACGTCTCTTTTAAAGTCTCACAGACGTGCTCCAAGTTGCCACCCAACCAGCACTGACACATTTATAATAAAAAATAGTGCAAAATCTCAACATTTATATAAATAACTCTAGAGCCCTGCTTTTTCATGGCTTCTCTACAAGGTAATACACCCTTTCCGAGTTGGCACGCAAAAGTCGCCATTTTCCCCTCTTCTAGTTCAGAAAACAACTTTTTTTTTTAATAGGCCTCTTCTAATACAAAAATACTCCTGCCCTCGCACATACAGTTTCTCTTATTTCATATATATTTATATATAATATTGCAGATCTTTAAACAAAGGTTTTTGTGCAAATATGTCTTTAAAGTTAAGTGAAACCGTCATACACGAAAAGAAGCAAGCACTCGGCACGCAGCTCGACTAGGAACGCAAGAGTCTAGTGGAGTGGTTTCTTCTGCCTTCAAGACACAACAAAGAAACGGGGCTTTTTGCAAGCTTCCTCAGCTTGTGCATTCAGAGCAGACAGAACACGGAGCATTTGTACAGCGGGGGGCGGGCGGGAGGGCCGCAGGTGCACCGCCCGGGTCTCCCCACCCCCCTTCCGTCCTAGGAACAGCCTCCTTGCCCCCCGGGCTCCTAGAGAGGGTGCCCCTTGTATTTCTCCTTCTCTTTGCTCTCCAGCGGGGCGAGGTGTGCGTGGTGGAGCAGGGAGGGCGGCCCGCTGCCCTGCTGATGCTGGAAGGAGTGCCTGATGACCTCGCTGTAGGTGGGGGGCGGCCCCTCCATGCGCCCGCCGCTGCCGTAGCACATGGCGCTGATGCCCGAGTTACTGCTGGGGGGGCAGGGGCCGCCCAGCACGGCGCTGTCCATCAGGTCGCTGTCGAAGATGGTTCTGTTGGGAGGTGCGCGCACTGACTCGCGGTTCAGCTCCAGCTGCTGCTCGGGGTCCCGCAGCTGGAGGGTGCAGGGGCCCTGGTAGGGCGGGGGCTCCTCTCCATCCGACAGCGAGATGGTGGGCGGCAGGTCGATGTCGTGCTGCAGGTACGGGTAGGTGGGCTGGGAGCGGTGCAGGCGGTCCCGCTGGGTGAAGGGTGGCACGGTCAGGCGGTCGGTGGGCCGGGGCGGGGCGTAGACCTGTGGCTGGAGGGGGCAGAGGCAGAACCTGAGGCCTGGCTCTGGGGGAGGGAGGCAGAGGGCAAGCATGGAGGAGGGGGGTATGGTGGGGCCCGAGCTGGCCTGTCCTCCCCCCCCACCTGCTGGACAGCTGGATGGGAGCCTCCCTTCAGCTGCAAGGAGAGGGGGCCAGCCAGGCGCTGGGGCTCACCTCAGGGATTCCGCCTCCCGAGACGGTGGTCTCCGAGGGCCAGAGGCAGCCTTCCTGCAGGGAAAGGAAATAGGAAGTTTCAGAGAGCAGAGAGAGGGCCCCGCCCCAGCCCAGCGTGACCTCCCCGACCCTGCGGTGCTTCTCTCTGGGTACCTAGCCTCCCATCGTGTGGTGTGAGCAGAGCCATGCTAGGAGCCGGCCAGTCGCCCCAGATGCCTCTGGGGACAGCCATGGGGCAAGGAGTAAGGGATATCGTTCAGCTTTATGGTTTCCTGGGATGTAACTGGGAGGCAACAAACGCACACCTTCCAGGCACATAACCTGCCAAGTCTGGGTATCTGACTACGCTAACACAACCTAGAGAGTGGAGCAACCTGCCGTCAGCCCGTTCTGCAGGTAGCAAGCTCGGCTCACCTGCAGCTTGCCAGATAGCGGCGATTTCCCTTAGGGCCACTAGGGGGCGCTGTGGCTCTCAGAACTGTCCCTCCCAGAACATGCTTGTCAGGCCCAGGGTGGCGGCTAATTCAGGCACAGCCTCGAAACTGCTCAAGTTCAGGACTCCCCCTGAACCACACCCCCCAACACACACAATGCGCAGTTCAAGTGCACCCAGCTGTGCAGCGTCCCAACCTGGGGTCCTCGACCTCATGCAGCATGGCCTGCACTGCCTGTCTGCCTGCCCTGCTGGCCTTGGGGGTCCTTGGAGACTTCACCCAACACTGGCCCCATCATACCCCTGCTTAAACCCCCCTGGGACCTGCAGGTGGGCAGGGGCGGGGCTGGGCAGGCAGGACAATGCCTGGTCCAGTGACGGGGGCTCTCAGGGGGCCCTGAACTTGCTCCTCAGACACCACCACCTGGGATGGTCCTAGTGGGAGTTCCACACGCTTGTGCTGAGATGCAGACCCAACCCAGCTCCCATTTGCCAGCCAGCTCCCTCGGGTGTTCTGGGGTTCCAGCTGTCTCAGCGGCCAGGCCCGAGAGGCCACGCACAGGGCCACTGTCCCTGTAACTCCCAGTCATCCAGGGTAACAGCTGCTGACGGGCTTTGTGGCCTCAGGCCCTCTCCAAGCCCCAGCCTCTGCTCTGGCAGCTGCGGAGACAGCAAGTCCAGGGGGGCCCTTTGGATCTGTGGGTTCCTCTGGAGCAAGAGAGACAGGCTGGACCTCAGGGGCCCATACCTCCACCTCAGGCACCATCGCTCATGCTCTGGACCCAATGACCCGGGCCTGACCCCACAAGACACCCCCTGCTGGCTGGGGCAGGGGGAGGAGGGACGCTCTGCCTACATTGCTGGCGTCCTCTCTGTGCACGGCTTAGGGCTACATGGAGGCCAGGACTGCCCACATGGACCCATGCCCTCCCCACCAACACAGCGAGCCATCTCCTGCCTCAGTCGGAGTCCCTTGTGCTGGACACAGGGACACGCATGCCATGCTGAACTCTGCTCGGCCCTTGGTCAGTCTTCATGGTGCTTCGTGCTCCTGAGAAAGAACCAGCCTGGTCCTGCTCTCCTCCCCGGCACCCCACCTTCAGAGGGTGACCCGCAGCAACCTGCGCCAAGCACCTCAGTCACCATCCCAGGGGTCCCCTGGGCACACCTGTCCAGTGCCCTGGCAGCCCCTGTGTGAACCATGGGTGTGGGCAGAGGAAAGGAAGGAATGGTTCCCTAACCAGCTGCGGCTGGGCCCTCAGTGCTGAACCCCAAATCATTTCAGGGGCGCACTCTATGGTCACAAGGTGCTGAAGCCCCATTTACACCTCAGGCTGAGGTCAGGGGTGGTGCCCAGAGGCAACTCAGGCCCCAGAAGGACCCTGGTGGTCCCCGAGCACCCGCAGCCCGTCCCATCAGGCCCTGCCTACCATGCACTCCTGCCCTGACCCCTACTTGAAGGGTGTGGGGGCTCTTTGCTGACCGCAACACTGTCATCCCCGACGGCTGTCTCCCCTCTCTCCTGGAACTCTGGCTCTGCGATGGCAAGGGCCAGCTGTGCCACCGCCACCCTCCCAGAGCCCCGGGCAGAACAGTGGCATGGGCGTGCGGACGCTCAGCCCCCTCCCGGCCACCCCTCCCGCTCCACCGAGGCTCTTACCGAGGCCAGGCCATCAGCCCTCCGGCGGGCCTGGCCGTGCCGGCCAATGAAGGAGTGCGCCGACAGGCGGTAGTGGCTCAGCAGGCAGGTGATCACCACCACCACCACCATCATCACCACCACGATGACGAGGATCTGCACGAACTCCAGCTCCGCTGCGGAGAGAGGGGCGCGTGACTGCGAGGCTGGGGCCCAGCTGCCCCGCCCCAAGCCAGGGTCTGAAGGAAGTGCAAGGTGCCTTGCCTGTCTCCAGCCCCTCTTCCCACACCAAGCATCAAAGGGCGGCAGCTTTCCCTCCCAGCGCGCAGCAGGGCCGGGCACCACTCTATCACTGTCCGGGTGAGGGTCCTGGGGCCTGTGCAGCTCAAGGAGGCAACCCCCCAGTGTGTACAGACCACGCTAAAACACAAGGTGTCCTGCGGACACAAACACACACAACCAGAGCCAGCACACCACACGCATCAAACACGTGCGACTGCCATCACCCCCACAGGCCTGGGGCGGGATGCTCCCCACCCCCACTTGGCCCCGCTGCCAGCAGGAGGCGGGACACCCCATGCAGGTGCCGCCACTCCTGGCTCGGCTTGGGTCCGTGGGTCCGTTTTCCCCTCGAAGGCAGAAAAACCCGCCACTACTGGAAAAGGAAGGCAGTTATTTTGATCCGGCCTGAGCCGGGAGGATTGTGCTGACTCAAGCGGGCCTGTGCCTTGACAGCTAGCCCCCGCTGGTGCCAACAGACCCCAGCATCACCTAGGATGCAGGGCACCTGGGAGGTGACGTGGCATGGCAGGCTGCTCCGACAGCCTGGCCCAGCTCAGTGCGCCCAGGAGGGTGTCTTCCCTGGGGTCTGACGCCCCAAAGCTGTCGGAGCTTAGAGGCAACCAGCCGGCTCAGACAGTGGAGATGGAAGGGGGGCGACAGGTCCGACAGCCCCCTCAGGGTGCACCCAAACCAACTCTAAACCCTGTGAGGTCCTCCCTGCCCCCCACCGGTCCTGCCACCTGCCTCGGCTTCTCCACACCAAGTAGCTCCCGGTGAGAGAATCCTGTGCAAGTCAAAAACTCCCTCCCTGCTGCCTCATACCAGGCCTGTGCTCCCGAGCAGGCAATGCCGTCCCCAGGGACACCGGACAGTCAGGAGGGTCCTTCACAGACAGCAGCCAGCCCCCACACAGGGCTGCACAGCTGCCTTCACTCCATCCTCTCACACAGGAAGACCTGCCACCCACAGGTTGCTACCGAAGAGGACCTGGGGACAGGTCACTGCAGCCACACCCCCTGCTTGCCGAGGCAAGCGCACACAGGCCTGGGCAACCCAGCTCAGGACTGCCTGTTGGGCCAGGAGAAGGCCTGGCATTGACGGAACACAGGGCCCGCTTTGTGCAGCGCCCACGCCTTGTCCCCAGAGTGGCCTGCGATGTCCAGCCCCCAGCCCCGTGCACCCCAGTGGGGCAAGCCCTCTCCCACCAGTCGTCTCCAGTGGCCCCGAGGGAGTGGGCTGAGACTGCCTTTGTCCCCGACCCAGGACCTGGCAGCCTGCGGGACCCAAGCCAGCTGGGACAGGCCTGTGGGAGCCGAGGCTGTGTTGGCGACTCTGGCAGCAAGGCCAGCGGGGCCGACAGGGGAGTGTGGACAAGCCCCGCACAGCCTTCCTGACCTGCCAGGTGGGCGGGGAGGGTGGGAGAAGGATCATTGTCCACTGGGGAAGAAAAAGGCTCCAGTGCAGAGGGCTTGGGGCTCAGATGTGCCGCCCAGAGGCGGGGCAGGGGAATGTTCTTGCAGGAAGAGCAGTGGCCCTGCCACACTTGATGACCCCTCATCTCCGACCCTGTGACCCAAGAGCCTGGAGGCGGCCCGAGTCACGCGGGGGAGTGCTCTGTCACATGACTGGGGTCCTGGGCTGGCTCTGGGTAACCCTCTTCTCAGACATGGAGAAGCATGAGTGGCAGAACTGTCCTTGGCCGTGTGGACGGGGGATTCCAGTCCTGCCAACAGCACCCCCCAATCCTGCCTGTCCATGCCCAGGCTGCCACTGCTTGCAGCATACACAGCCCCGAGGGAACAAGCTCACAGCTCCCAGGAGCACCCCACACATGGTGAAGACCACAGATGGGAGGGCGCACAGACGACTGAATCCTAGTCCCTGGCTCCAGCAGTAACCAGGCTTGGCATTAAGGGGACGCAGCTGAGGCAGCCACACTCCACAGACTGTGCCAGCTGCAGGGCACATGTCACACCTTCATGTTACCTGCCTGGCACCCACTGGCATCCACACCTCTACAGCTCGCTCCTGTGCACCTGGCAGGCAAAGTTCACAAAGCAGAAGCTCCCTACCCGACTGGCACACACGCCCAGACCTGCAAAGGCCCCTGTGAGTTGGAGAAGGGTGCCTCACCTTTCCCGAAGGTGTCAGGATCAAGATCCAAGTGTGGCAGGTGCATCAGTACGGATGCTTTCCCAGCCGCTCTCGGGCCCTCGCATGCGTCCCCCAGGCTGCAGCGGCGCTGGCAGGCTCCCAAGGAAAGACCCCACCCTGCCCTCAGGAGAGCACCCAGGGCACGGGACACACGTGGCCCTCTCTCACATCTCTCCAGAGGACCTGGAAACGCCCTGGGAGGCCACGCAGCCTGCAGCAGCTCACCCACCAGATGCAACAGCACCCTACAGGCCACACCCACGGCATATAATCCTGTCTCAGCTTCCCCAAGCCAACAGACCGCGCCGGGAGGCAGAGGCGTCCTGTTGGCGCTGCTGCCACCCCTCCACCCCTCCCTGCCCACACCTGGGCTCTCACCTTCTTGGAGACAGACCTGGGGGACAGAGTGTACGGTCTAGCCCACGGTCCTAACTTGTTGTAAGCATGGAGGTTCCAAAAGAAACCCTATGTGCCCCAGCTCAGGGCTTAAAGCCTCCATTTGCTGTGCCCCCTTGGCAGCTGAGCCAACCAAGACTGGGGAGAAGCTGCACAAATCCCAGAGCCGTCCTGCAAGAGCTGAGAAGGAGAGAACGCCTTGTCCACCCTCCAAATCCCCTGGCTCCCCGACCCGCAGGGCTCTGCTCCAAGCACGCGGCCGTGGGCAACGTCCCGTCTGCCCCCTCCTTCTCTGTGTCCCAGGCCCAACTCCTGCCAATTCACCCTGTAATCTCCTCTTGGCACGAGGGATGGTGGCGGCAGATTCTAAAGGCGGCTGTACCCACCCTGCATGTGCAAGGCTGGGGCACTCTCATTTCACATCTGGCAGGTGCTGCTTCGGGTTGGGGATGTGGGCTCAGCCCTGGCCCTTCTGGGCTGATTCACAACAAAGCACTGTGTGCCAGGGTCACTGAGCCCTACACCTCACCCACCAGCTTACCGAATCTTGTCCGACATCCTGACCAGTGAGCGCAGTCCAGAGCCCCAGGGCTCCTGTTCCGACACCAAAGCCTACGCCTTCACAGCCGCATTGGAACGACTGCCCCATGCCAGGTGGGCCTGGGACATGAGGAATGGCACAGGTGCATGGGCACATCACAAGGGCCTCCCACGGGGTCTATAAAGCTGGTGTTGGGGGCCTGGCACGGTAGCCTAGCAGACAAAGTCCTCGCCTTGCACATGTCAGGATCCTATGTGGGCGCTGGTCCTGATCCTTGCAGCCCCACGGAAGGAAGGCCACAGCAAACCCGAGCGTGTCGACTGGGGCCTGGGGCTTCTGCCAGGCCAGGTGCCATGCACAGAGCTGTGGTCCCTTCAACTGGCACTCAGGGGAGGGCAGGACGCCTCCCCTCATCCCACAGCCAAGACACCCATGGGAGAAAGCAGATGAAAAACCAGTCAATGTGTGAGGAACGCGTCCAGCTCACACAGTCGGGGAGGGAAGCAGGCTGGGGGGGGCCCTGTCCCTCTGATAACTTTAGGGACAACGAGGTGCTGGCTCCCCACCTGGTTCCTGCCAGTCCAAGGGAGGCCTCTAGACAGATGACCCCGGCCCCCAGCCTCCCCCCCTGCGTCTCCCTGACAAACAGCCTGTGCACGTGGCCTGTCTGGCCTCACACTGAGGAATTAGGAATTGCTGCTGTCTGAAATTCATGAAAATCTAATCTCGTTAGGCCTGCCGGGACGAGACCTGCCAGGAGGGCCTCATTGTTCGCTCTCTCAGCCAGCCACTTCCAGTGCCACCCCCTTACCCTGCACTAAAAAAAGAACCAGGCTCCCCGCCCCCAGTCCCAAGCCCCCCACTCTTGAGTTTCAAGTGAACTTGAGCCGGGCATCAAAGGAGTAGCCTTTCTGGTCACTCTTGGCACCTCTGCAACCTGCTGCGGCCCCCGACAGCATGGTTATTTCCGACGGGAAGACCTGACCTCATACGGATTAAAACAGAATGCTGCCCCCTTTCTCTGGAGGGTTCAGGGGTGACTTTCAAATCTAGGCCAGTTTCTTTCTTTTTAAAAAACAGGCGAGATAGCTTGCAGAGCAGGCGCCTGGTCTAGGTCAGAGGCACAGTGAGGTGCTGGGAGTGGCAGAGACTGGGGGACAGGGACAGGCAGGCTAGGGAACTCCCGTGAGGGCTCAGCCACCTGCTAAGACCTTGGGTAACTCCACATCCTTATCTGGGGACCAAGGGGAGGTGATCTCGTCCCCACCGGGCTGACAGTGGCCAGAGCAGCTTCAGCCAGCTCCAGGAGGGGCGTACTGGGTTAAGCCTGCAACTGGGATAAGAGGGCAGGGTCCCTGAATGCCCGGTAGCACCTAAGATGCAGCAGGCGTCTGTAGGAACCCATGTGGGAGACCTGGGAGGAGTGCCTGGTCCAGCTCTGGCTATCGCAAGCATTTAGGGAGTGAATGAGTGGACGGAGGCTCTGTCTCTCTCCCTCTCTGATGCCTCTGCAGGGTGACACGGTCAGGTGTCCCTCTGTCCCCATGCACCTGCTGGGGGGCTTGTCTTCCACACTTCTTTCCTAGGATTTTGTCTCGGGCTCACTCTGCTTTGATCACCAAGCACGAACTACCCTGGGACCCTGGCATGCACTATTCCTTCCCCAGTATCCACTTGCTCTGGTCCTCTGATGACCCCTCGCACACAGTGTCACTGGGGCACCTCGTCTCCTCTGTTCCCAACCCCAGGCCCAGTTCCCAGTTCCCCAGGCCAGTCCCTGCCTCCTCCAGAGTCTACCCCCAG